CCTCCTCCTCCTCCTCCTCCTCCTGGCGAAACGAGTAGAAGGAGGAGGAGAGGCGTACGAGTACTACTACGACTAAACGGGAAGTAGTAGCAGTAAAAGTAGTAGTGATGGTAGTAGTGGTAACAGTGAAGTAGTAGTTGTATTTGGCGGGAGTGAACGAGTGAAGTGTAGTTGAAGTGGGTGTGGTGGTAACAGCGAAGTGAAGTATAGTTGTAGTGGGTGGATGGCAGTAGTGGTAACAGTGAAGTGTAGTTGCAGTGGGTGTAGTGGTAACAGTCAAATACGGCGGATGCCTTGGAGAAGGAATCAGGGGGTCGGCCGTGGGTATGGCCGCCGCTGGCTATTCAAAATGTGGCCCGGGAATGGAGTTCTGGGAGCTCGAAGAGCACGAAGTGGCCTACAGTTGGCTCCGGGCATCCAAAATGTGGCCCGGGAATGGAGTTCTGAGAACTCGAAGAGCACGAAGTGTGTGACTGTTGCATCCGGTCCTCCAGAATGTGGCCCGGGAATGGCGTTCTGGGAACTCGAAGAGCACGAAAAGTGTGACTGTTGCATCTGGTTATTCTAAATGTGGCCCGGGAATGGCGTTCTGGGATGTCGAAGAGCACGAAGTGTGTGACTGTTGCATCCGGGTATTCAGAATGTGGCCTGGGAATGGAGTTCTGGGAAGTCGAAGAGCACGAAGTGTGTGACTGTTGGTGAAAAACGAGCCCGGCACCCTGCCGCCCGGCAACTCCCCAACACCTGCCCGGACCCCCCTGTGGAGTGATCTGTGAGCTCTTTTGAGACCACTAGAAACCTATCAGTCTTCGCTGTTAGGTAAAAACACGAGAGTCCCAAGCCACGCTCGGAAACGTGTCAGGCCCCGAAGCCTCCGGAGGCGCCCAACGACACCCCAACAAATCATGTTCCAGGACGTCTTACGGCCAGTGCCGCCGACGTTGAAGGAGGACGGTCCAGAACACCCAGAAATCTTCCAAGCAGGCTTCCAAGAGGGCGCCGAGACAGCCCAGGGCCGCCCCCAGACGGCCCAAGAGAGCCCCAACACAGACGAAAAGGGCCGCAAGAGGCCCCCAAGAGGCCCCGAAACGAGGACATATCGTTCGAACACGTCCAAGATGGCCTCCGGACGGCCCACAAGGCTTCCAACACGGCCCAAAGGGACGCCAAAATCATTGCTTGTCCTTCGGTTTTTGATGGATTTCAGACACCCACTGTCGCCCCAACAGGCCCCCACGAGGGCGCCGAGACGGCCCAGGGACGCCCTGCCGCGGGCACGAGGCGGGGCCCGGGACGGGGCCCTCGCACCGGTGGGCCCGGGGGCCCTGCCGTGGCGCTGGGGGCGTTGTAAAGTCGCCCGAAGACGGCCCTGGCGTTTCCAGACAACGAAAACGACCAATGACCGCCTGAGATCACCCCAGAATTGCTCCCTGACTGTCCGAGAGGCCTCCAAGACGCCCCAAGAGGTCTCCAAGATTGGCTCCCAAGGAGCCCCAGGAGGCACAACTAATTCGTTGTCTTTGGTTTTTGATCGATTTTCGACCTTTTGAGTTTCCTGACGCTCCACGACGGCCCAAGAGGCTTTAATTTCCGCTCCAAGGCATCCCCAGAGGCCTCGAAGACGGTCACAAGACAGCCCACGGGGGTCCGGAGACGGCGCCAGAGGCGCCCAAGGCGGCCCGAGAGGGCCCCAGGACGGCCCCAAGATGGAGCCAAGAGGGTTGACACGAACCGAAAATCCACCCCGAGAGGCTCTCAGGAGGCCCCGAGAAGCCCCTAACATTCTCCAAGAGGCCCCAAGAAGCCCCCCAGGGGGCCGAAGAGTATCCAAGAGGCCTCCCACGAAGGCCCCAAGAGGCAAAAATCCATGTCATGCCATAGGTTTTTGATTGATGTTCGAGTTTTCAGCCTTTTGGCGTCTTGACGCTCCAAGACGGCCCAAAAGGCCTCTAAGACCAATCCAAGATAGCCCAAGATGCCTCCAACAGGGCCCAAGACAGCCCGAGAGGGCACCGATACGGCCCCAATCGGGGCCCAAGAGGGGTAAGACGAACCGAAAATCCGAGCCTTCCACCCCGAGGGGCTCTCAGGAAGCCCCGAGAAGCCCCTAACATTGTCAAGAGGTCCTCAAGAGGCGACCCGAGGCCTCCAAATGCGACCCAAGAGGCCCTCAAGAAGCTCCCCAGAAGGCCGAAGAGGTTCCAAGAAGCATTGTTTTCCCATCGGCTTTTGATGGATGTTAGAGTTCCCAGCCTTTTGGCATCCCGACGCTCCAAGACGGCCCAAGTGACCCCCATGGCCGCTCCAAGATAGCCGAAGAGGCCTCCAAGAGGGCCCCAAGACGGCCCACGAGGGCCCCAAGACGGTGCCCGAGGCGCCCAAGACGGCCCGAGAGGGCCCCGAGAGGGCTCCAAGAGAGCCCCAAGAAGGGGAACGAGAACCCAACAGCAGAGCTTTTCGCCCTAAGAGGCCCACAGGAGGCCCCAAGAGTCCCCAACTGGTCCGACGAGGCCCCCAATGCCCCCCAACAGGCCCCAAAAGGCTCACAGGAGACGCACACGGGGCCCCAAGATAGCCGAACAGTCCTCTCGATGCATCAAAATTGCTTCAAGGAGGCCCCAGGAGGCTTCCGGATTGCCCCAATGTGGCCTCAAGCCGGGCCTCCACGCAGCCAAGACAGCCAATTGACTGCTTCAGACTGCAGAACATCACTTTCCGACTGCCCAGAGAACCCTGACGATGCCCCTAAGGGACCCCAAGAAGCCCTAAGATGCCCCCCCGAGAAGCACCCAAGAAGTGCCTACAACAGCCAATTGAGGAAGCACGGAGAACCCCCCAGAAACCCTTCAGATGCCCCCACGAAGACCCAAGAGGTTCCCAAGAGGCCCTCAGGAGGCACGACTATGTCACGCGCCTGTGCTTGATAGCGCTGTCCAAGATCTTCTAGCGCGCCCCCAGCCTGGGCTAGAACCTGAGCGCGCGCGAAGCGCGCGCGATGGACACACACACACACACACACACACACACTCGTGGCGTGCATTTGACGTTTTGTTCTATCGCGGCGGTTGTTACTTGATTACACCCTCTGGGGGGCGCCGTCGGGACCCCCAGGAGCGCCAGGCACCGATCCAGTACGCGAGGCGACGCCCGGGTGAGGGCTCGGGAGCCTCGGGGCCGCGGATGACGGAACGCATCGCGTCGGAGGATGCCTGGTACAGCCAAGACGCGGAGAGAAGGGCCGCCTTGGGCTCGGAGGGGGGCTCGAGGTTCCGGAGGTCCTTCCATGGCTGTTCCTCGCCAAGTCGCGGAGAGAAGGGCCGCCTTGGATTCGGAAGGGGCTCGATGTTCCTCAAGCTCCTTCCATGGCTGTTCCTCTCGCACTCCTCGTGCACCTGGGCTCTCTTGGTGCCAGCGAGGGGCTTCGTTCTTGATTGAGCGTTCCTCATTCCAGCAGCCCAACTGTGATCGACCCCTGGACCTGCCTTGGTATGCGTTTCGACCAGGGTGCGTGCAGCCGTGAAGACCCGAGGCTTCCCTGAGGCGCCCCCACTTAAGCAAGAACAGGAAACTGCGAGAAGCCTCGGACCTCGATCTTGCACCCGTTCCGCCACTCCCTCTTCGCAGACACTGGCTCGTGCGCTGTGCTCGCCTTGTCTGCCGAGCCAGGGCCAATCTCGATCGACCGATCCATTTTCGATTGTGCCGACGGCCCGATGCGGCCTGACGACCGCACGACGCCGTGGTGCATCCTGGCGCGGCCGGCCCGGTTCGGCTCTGCCCCCGGGCCGATGCGGCCCGATCCGACGTGCACTTCGATTCGATTCGACGTCCCGGCTCGATGCTGACTCGTCCTGGCTTCTCGTTGACCTCCTGGGGATCTGTTTTTTTGCTCCTGGGCCGTCTCCGTCACCGCCCTGGAGCCCGACAGATTACCCCCAGAGGCCAGAAGCGGCGAGGAATTTCCGCCCTGATTCTTGCAAGGCGCTGGGGGCTTCCCGATCTCGAGGGAAGAAACACGCTGTCCATGACCAAGACGTCGCTGGATCGTGCCGACAGAAAGAGGAGGAGAAGGAGGAGGAGGACGAGGAGGAGGAGGAGGAGGAGGATGGAAGAGGAGGAGGAGGAGGCGGAGGAGGAGGAGGAGGAGCCGATCGTCGTCATGGTCCGTGCAGGCCGTCGCCCATTCGCGAGCATGGTTCACGAATTGACGGTGACCAAGATGGACGTTGACCAAGATGGGCACCCACGTTGCCGCGCTCAGTCTTGGTCGTGGTCCTCGCTTCCCCGTCGCCCATTCGCGAGTATGTTCCACAAACTGACGGGGACCAAGATGGACGGTGACCAAGATGGACACCCTCGTTTCCACGCTCAGCCTTGGTCGTGGTCCTCGTTGCCGTCCACTCCAGATTCTGTCCAGGGGTTGGAGGCTTCCCGATCCGATCTGATCCGATGTTCCGATGCGACGCTGATTGTTCCTGCCCCTGTCTCGCAGGCAGACCTGGGCGACTTGCACAGGGTGCGCCGCGTGGGTTTCCGCGCGGGGGTGGGAGCCACCGTTGCCTCGTGTGGGCAGCCGAGGGGAGCCATCGCCAGCCCGACGCAGCGCGAGAAGCATCGAGGAAGTTCGAGGAGCGTGGAGCGTGTTTATTGCTTGGGGCATAGCGGGCGTTACACCCCCCGCCCCTCCCCCTATGACGTGACGTCTCCCCCCCCTCCACCAGTGCGCTCCAGGCACTGCCGCCGTGCGCATTGGGATCGCATCCGCAAAGTCAGCCGCATAGGGATCCGCGTAAGGATCCGCATAGGGATTCGCTCAGGGATTCGCATGGCAATGCGCATGGGCATCCGCATAGGCATCGCATCGGGATCCACACCGGGATCCGCAAAAGCATCCGCATAGGGATCCGCGCACGGATCCGCATAGGGATCCGCCTCGGGATCCGCATAGACATTCGCATAGGGGCGCGCACTGGGATCCTCACAGGGATCCGAGATTGTGATTCTGTGTTCCCGGTGAAAGCTCTTCCTCCTTCTTCTCCTCCTCCCGTTTCTCCTCTTCCTCCTCCTCCTCCTCCTCCTCCTCCTCCTCCTTCTCCTTCTCCTCCCCCTCTTCCTCCGCATCGCCAGTTTTGGGTCAAGCCATCTCTTCGGTGCCAAGAGGCGGCAGAGGCAGCCTGCTGGGCGGCCTGGTTGTGCGGGCGCCGTGGGGTCAAAGTTCGGGACAGCACGCAGGGCAAGAACAAAGAATCATCACAATTAACTTACATTTTGAATTTAATGAGATCAGCCGCCCCCGCGATTTTCTTGCATCTGGTCCCGTCGGGACCCCAGATGTGCGTGGCGGCCTTGTGGTGCGCACAGGTATTGTGGTGCACGCAGATGGTTCTGAAATGATCGTGGCTCGTTGCCGCTGATCGTGGCTCGTGCGCGCACGCGCTGTGGTGCACGCAGAAGCGCTACCATTGCCTGCCCTCCCCATTCCTTGCCATTTCTTTTCACGGGCGCTGTGGCGCGCACAGTGGCCATGGTGTGCATGGGCGTCGTGGGTTCGAAGTGCAGGAGTGCACGCAGGACAAGAGAAACAACACAATCAATTCGCAGGCTGAATTTGATAGTGTCGGCCGCCCCCACGATTTTCTACAATTTGGTCTCGTCGGGACCCCATCGGGTCCCAGAGGTGCACGCAGGCCTTGTGGTGCGCACAGGCATTGTGGTGCGTCGTGCTGAGCTGGTCATGGCTCGTGGCCCCTGGTCGTGGCTCGTGCGCGCAGGCGCTGTGGTGCACGCGGAAGCGCTACCATTTTATTCACCACCCCTCGTCGTCATCGTCGTCGTCGTCGTCGCTCGTCGCTCGTCGCTCGTCACTCATCGTCGTCGTGAGCGCGGGCACGGTTGTGGTGCCGTAGCCACGCGGCGGGGGGGGGGCGTTACGTTATACCCCCCCCGCTCCCTCCTTTTTTTGACGCCCGTTGTCGCCGAAAATGCAGAAACGCGCTCGTGAGAGGACCCGGGAGCATTGGGGGGCCCGGAAATGGCCGAGGAGGACCGCGGACGATCGGAGAGGAACGGAGTAGGGCCGAGGAGTGCCGAGGACGATCAAGGTAGGACGGAGGAGGATCGAGGTAGGACCAAGAAGGATCGGGAAGGATCAAGGAAGATCGGGAAGGATCGAGGAGGACAGGAGTCGGGGTGGACCACGCAAGTTCGAACATCGAGGCTTTTGGGCGCGGTTTGCCCGTCTGCTTTTGAGGGCGCCCGAGGCTTGCAGAGGCTCTCGAGGGTCTAGGGAAGGCCTCTCGAGACGTCTGCGACATCTTTGGCGCAGCTGTGCCGACAGCTTTGCGCGTGGTGTCTTATCGGCGTTGTTGTTTGTCGAGACGCTGGGCTTCGGGGGGGGGGGGCGGAGCACGCGAGCGGAGAAGTCATGCGCGGGGGGCCGCAGGACGAAGACGAACGAGCGCATGTTGAGGAGTTTAATATTGCAGGGTGCGTCACGCTACTGCCATCCGAAGAGTGGCTTGTGCATCGAAGGTCCCCAGAGGTGTCAGTCGAAGCCCATTCGCTCAATAAGGGGATGGATCCGCAGAGAGGAGCTGGAGGGAAGCTCGGCAGAGGCTGACGACTGTGAAGCTGCGGGGCACAAGGGGAGTTTCAGCTGGTTCGTGTACATCGTTGCGCATACGCCCCGTTAAGCTGTGTCATGTGCTTGGGCCGAGGGCACCCTCGCAGCAAATGTCACCCTTGAGGTCCTGTCCGCAAGCGGCTTAAGCGCCTGGGTGTGGAAATTCTGACACAGTGCGCCCATCGTTCATTCCACAACAAGAAGGGCAGCTGCATTGTGGCACACAGGTTGTGGCACAAAACGGAGATAGGACGGGCGTCTTTTCCGCATCTTGGGCCACTGGCCCTTTGATGTATTACGAACAATTAGCAGGAAGAACGGGGTAGAATGTTCCAGGTGTGATTCTGCAGGCCGCTGAAGTTTTTGGCGTGGGACTCCCGTGGGCCACTCTCTTGGCCCATTTGGATGGCGACTACCTTGTCTTCGTCATCGTCCTCCTCTTCGTGGCGGATTAGACATTGATTCCTTGTTATGGCGGAGTGCAGATTTTTTGTGGCGGGTAACACAGGAAATCCTTTTGTGGCGAACTATAAATTGATTCCTTCTGTTGCGGATTACACATTGATTCCTTGGTGGCGGATTACATCTTGATTCCTTTTGTGGCGGATTGCAAAAGGAGTCCTTCTGTGGCGGATTACAAATGGAATCCTTTTGTAGAGGATTACAAATTGATTCCTTTGTGGCGGATTACAAAAGGAATCCTTTTGTGGCGAATTACAAAGGGAATCGTTTTGTGGCGGATTACAAATTGAATCCCTTTGTGGCGGATTGCAAAGGGAAATCCTTTTGTGGCGAATTACAAAGGGAATCCTTTTGTGGCGGATTACAAATTGATTCCTTTTGTGGCGGAAAACAAAGGAAATCCTTTTGTGGCGAATTACAAAGGGAATCCTTGTGTGGCGGATTATAATTTGATTCCTTTTGTGGCTGATTACGAAGGGAACCCTTTTGTGGCGGATTACAAAGGGAACCCTTTTGTGGAGAATTGCAAAAGGAATCCTTGTGTGGCGGATTACAAATTGATTTTATGTGTGGCGGAATTCAAAAGAAACCCTTTTGTGGCGAATTTCAAAGGGAATCCTTTTGTGGGGATCTTGAGCGATCTGATCTTGAGCGGTCTTGAACATTTAATGAATTTGTAAAATTTTTGAAATAAGCAAACCAGGTTTCGCCTGAGACGCCTTCAAATTTTTATAAATCCATTGAGCTTGGCTGCTGTAAAACTCGGAGGGGGTCTCAAGCGAAATTGTGTTTTTCTGTTTGAAATCAATTTAAAAACAATGAAAAAGCCGGTTTCGCTTGAGACTCCCTCCGAAGTTTACAGCGGCCAAGCTCCATGGATTTATAAAAAATTGAGGGAGTCTCCGGCGAAACTTGGTCTTCTTATGTGGTTTTTTAATCAAAAAAAACATAAAATTTTAAAGAGTTATACATCCTGGGAACCTCACACAGGTCCAGACCGCGCAAGATCCCCACAAAAGGATTCCCTTTTGTAATTCGCAACAAAAGGGTTTCCTTTGTAATCCGCAACAAAAGGAATCAATTTGTAATCCGCCACACAAGGATTCCCTTTGCAATTCTCCACAAAAGGATTCCTTCTGTAATCCGCCACAAAAGGAATCAATATGTAATCCTCTACAAAAGGATTCCATTTGTAATCCGCCACAGAAGAAATCAATTTGCAAATCCGCCACAAAAGAATCAATTTGTAATCCTCTACAAAAAGGATTCCATTTGTAATCCGCCACAGAAGGACTCCTTTTGCAATCCGCCACAAATGGAATCAAGATGTAAGCCGCCATGTGGCGGATTACAAATTGATTCCTTCTGTGGCGGACTACAAAAGAAACCCTTCTGTTGCGAATTACAAAGGGAACCCTTTGGTGGGGATCTTGAGCGGTCTGGACCTGTGTGAGGTTCCCAGGATTTATAAATTTTCAAAATTTTTATAATTTGTTGTAAATCTTTGAAGTAAGAGAGCCAGGTTTCGCCTGAGACTCCCTCAAATTTGTTATAAATCCATTGAGTTTGGCTGCTGTAGAATTCGGAGGGAGTCTCAAGCGAAACTGAGTTCTTCTGTGTGAAATCAATGTAAAAACAATGAAAAAGCCGGTTTCGCTTGAGACCCCCTCCGAAGTTTACAGCGGCCAAGCTCCATGGATTTATAAGAATTTGAGGGGGTCTCAGGCGAAACGTGGTTTTCTAATTTCATTTTTTTACAATATATATATATATATACATATATATATATATAATCCTGAGAACCTCACACAGGTCCAGATCGCTCAAGATCCCCACAAAAGGATTCCCTTTTGTAATTCGCCACAGAAGGGTTTCTTTTGTAATCCGCCACAAAAGGAATCAATTTGTAATCCGCCACAAAAGGATTCCCTTTGTAATCCGCCACAAAAGGAATCAATATGTAATCCCTTACAAAAGGATTCCCTTTGTAATCCGCCACAGAAGAAATCAATTTGCAAATCCGCCACGAAGGAATCAGTTTGTAATCCTCTACAAAAGGATTCCATGTGTAATCCGCCACAGAAGGACTCCTTTTGCAATCCGCCACAAAAGGAATCAAGCTGTAAGCCGCCACCAGGGAATCAATGTGTAATCCGCAACAAAAGGAATCAATGTGTAATCCGCAAATGGATTCCTTCACAAGAAAAAACCATGTGTAATCCGCCACAAAAGGAATCCACATGTAATCCACCACAAAAGGAATCCCTTTGTAATCCACCACTCATCCTCCTCCCCGCCATCCTCCCGTGGACTCAAAATATGGTTCTGTTGGGCGGAGATGCTTTTCTGACGTTTCTAATGCAATCAAACGGACATGAGGCAAGGTTAAGATCGCGAGTTGTTTTCAGATTTGACGTCTAGTATGAGCACACGCGTGCAAGCTGTGAACGAGCAGTGACGCCTACATCGCAGATTCCCCCGTCTCCTCCTCCTCGCCATCATCCCCCCTCCTCCTCCTCTTCTCCTCCTCTTCTCCTCCTCCCTCCTCCTCATCCTCCTCATCTTCCTCGTTGCCGTCGCCGTGGCCCTCGTCCTCCTTGTCCCCCCCCCTTCTCCAACTCCTCGTCGTTCGCTTCATTTTCTTCGGCCTCCACCTCCGGATTTCACCCCGCCCTCGCCTCCTCCCTCCTCTCTCCTCCTTCACCCCAAGTTCCCCCTTCCCCGCCGCCACCCCAGCTCCCTCCTCCCCCTGTCCTCCTCTGGCATCACTGATCCCTCCTCGCCTCCTCCCTTTCCCCCCCCATCCCCGCCCCGCGGGACCTTCCCTCATAATCCTGGTTCCCCTCCTCCGCTTGCACCCTGCCACCTCCCTCCTGCATCCCGCCTCCCCATCCTCCCCCATCCGCTCCCTTCACGTTGGTTTTACCATATCGATACACATATGTTTTATGAGATGTGTATATATATATATATATATATGTATATCCTTCACGCGTAATTGCACGCGTGCGCATACTCCTGGCAAGTTCAGGCATCCATACAACCGCGCGTACACAGACGCATGTGCACGCAAGGGAGGAAAGAGGGTGAGATGGAGGGAAGGGGGGGACGGGATGGGGGATGATACTAATGCGCGTGAAGGGCGTTCGTGAGGGAGGAATGGGTGGGCGGAGGGAGGGATATGGTGCCCTCCCATTACCTTGTTTCTCCGTTTCTACATTGACCACCCGCCCCCCCTCAACTTCCCCCCATTCTCCCGCGCCCTCTCCCTCCGCGCCGCCACCGCGCTCAAATAAGGAGGGAAGGGGGGAGGAACGGCGAGAGGGAAGAGAGATAGAAATGGTAACGGTTGCGTTGCAGAGGGAAGGAGGTGCGGAAGGGGGGGTGACAGCCGCTGAAACCACCTCCGCCGCCTGCCCCTCTCTCTCTCTCTCTCTCTCTCTCTCTCTCTCTCTCTCTCCTACCACCGCCACCCTCGATGTTTGGAGGAATGAACGGTTACGCGTAGTGGAAGGATGCGAGGCAGGGGGGGGGGGGAGGAAGTTGCGGCGATGCTGTAGGGGGGCAATGAGGGAGGCACGGGGGGACGAAGGAGAGAAAGCGAGACAGAGAGAGAGAGAGAGGGAGAGAAGGAGAGAGAGAGAGAGGGAGAGAGAGAGAACGATAGAGCTGCTGGAAGTCGTGTTACTGGGGGCATGGTTCCCTCATGTCCCCCCTCTGCCTCCCTCGCGGATGCCATCCCAATTCCCTTCATCCGCCTTCTCCCCCCCCCCCTTCGCACCGCCGCCCTTCCCCCATCCTCTCTCCCTCCTAGTCGCTATCCCTCCCTTATTCGAGGCTCGCGGGAGCGCGAGAGACGGCGAGAGGTGTGGGGCAGGGGGCAGGGAACGATGGGGGGAGCGGATGGGGACATTGAGATGTGGTCGCGGTGGGGGGCGGCCGATCTGGACGAAGGGAGGTGAGGGGGAATTGGGATGGGGGAGGAGAGGGCGAGGTGGTGGTTGCGGGAGAACCTCAAGGCCTTCCCTCCTTGCTCACGCCACCACCGGCCCCTCCCTCAAGGCCGTTGGTGGTGGAGGGATGTCGGGATGGGGGGCGGGAAGGGAACAACGAAATATGGGAAATGGAAGTAGGAGAGGAGGTGGCGGCGGTGGTGGTGGCGGATCTGCCACAAAAGGAATCAATGTGTAAATCCGCCACGAAAGGACTCATTTTGTAAATCCGCCTCCAAAGGATTTCAATTTGCGAATCCGCAACAGAGAGAGAGAGAGAGAGAGACAGAGAGAGAGAGAGAGAGAAAGACAGAGAGAGGGGGTAGAGAGAAAGAGAGAGAGAGAGAGAGAGAGAGAGAGGGGGAGAAAGAGGTAGAGAGAGAGAGAAGAGCGAAAGAGAGAGAGAGAGAGTGGGAGAGAAAGAAAGGCAGAGAGAGTGAGAGTCGTCATAAAAATGGCCAAGTGAGGGGCGTGCATAAGTCCCCACGGCATGCTGTTCTCCAACCAGCATATCTCGGGCGAAGTCTCTGCTCCATTGAACGCGTCTCCCTCATACGTTTGGGCGTGCCTCGCGAACTGTGCAACCTTTTTGCAAGGGCTCTCGAAGCTACGGTGGCGTGGCGGGGGTCAGGGCGCGCACTGGCCATCAGCGCTTGGTTGTTTAGCTGGACCCGGCCGCCGTGCACCTGCGATTGGGCGCGGATGATTGCTGGCGACGGGTGCCGCACAAAGACAGTGGGCATCTGCGCCTCCATCCTGACGGCAGCCTATGTACCTGGCCCCCGCCGTTCCGCCTCCACCACGCGCGACGAGATGGATGAAGCGACATTACCAGGTGCTTGAAGACATTATGTCAGCATGCATGCCTCGGAGATGGCAGCTCGCAGATCCACAACTCGATAGCATCTGCGCACTCTGCTGCCATTGCCATGGGTGGGAGATTACAGATTCTCACGATAGACCTTCCAGCCGACTACGAGGCCTCGATCGTGAAGACCCAGGTAACAAACCAGAACATATTGACGAGGCAAAAGGAGCAGCAGGACTGGACACCAGACCCCGCTGACGATGATATTGCCATGCTCTGCCTGGGTCACAATGGAAGCAGCGGGTGAGTTATGGCAGTGCAGCGCAGAGCTTGATCCAGTGGTGAGGAGGTGCTTGGGCACCGGACAGTGCAAAGCGCATGCGCGCAGCAAGGCGGCACTGATCCGAGCGAAGATCGACGTGATGGTCGCAGACAAGGAGAGGAACATCACCGTCACATTGGTGAGCGACCCAAATTTGCCAAGATGCATCTTCTCCGCCTCCTCCTCCCTCCATCTCGTCCTCCTCTTCATTGCCTTTTGCCGGTTCCGCCTCCCGCTTCTGTTATTGGTGTTGCTGCTCATCATTCTCACCATCGTCCTGCGCTCTCTCCCTCTCCCTCCTCCCCCTCTCTGTCCTGCTGCTCGTCCCCCGTCCCCTCCCATCTCCGACTTCCCCTCTCATCCCTCAACTGGAGCGTCGGGGCGGATCCAGCCATGCCGGCACTAGCCGCTCCAGAGGCCCAAACAGGACGCAAGCACACACACAAACACAACCTCAGAGCCCCGAGTCATCAGGGGTAACTCGGGTCAGGGATAACTCGGGTTCCTTTTTCGGGAACCCGAACCCGAGTTACCCCGGACCCGAGTTACCCCGGATAACTCGGGCGCCCAGAGCCCCGAATCATCAGGGGTAACTCGGGTCAGGGATAACTCGGGTTCGTTTTTCGGGAACCCAAACCCGAGTTACCCCGGACCCGAGTTACCCCGGATAACTCGGGCGCCCAACAACCACACAACACGTGGAACAATATATGTTTGTATGTATGTATGTAGGTATGTACGTATGCATGTATGATTGTATGTATGTGTGTATGTATGTATGTATGTGTGTATGTATGTATATATGTATGTATGTTTGTCTGTTTGTAGGTCTATATGTGTGCGCATCCATGTACGTATGTATGTGAGTAGGTTTGAATGTATGAATGCATGCATTATTGAACATCTTTGATGTACATGTGCGTGAGAATTGACGTATCAAATGTGTAAAGTTTATACATACGTATACAAGCATGTGTGTATGTATATATGTATGTATATGTGTACGTATGTATGTATGTGTGCCTGTCTGTCTGTCTGTATGTATGCATGTATGTATGTATGTATGTATGTATGTATGTAGGTATGTGTGTGCGTATGTGTGTATGTAGGTAGGTAGGTATGCAGGTATGTATGTATGTATGTGTGTAGATGCATGCATGTATGTATGTGTGAACGAATAAATGCATGTGATGGCATACGTATTGTTATATGTGTGTATGTGTATGCATGTATGTATGTATGCATGCATGCATGCATGTATGTATGTATGTATGTCTGTCTGTCTGTCTGTATGTATGTATGTATGTATGTATGTATGTATGTATGTATGTGTGTGTGTTTGTGTGTATGTATGTATGTATGGATGGATGTGTGCGTGTATGTATGTGTGCATGCATGCATGCATATATGTATGTATGCATACATGCATGCATGTGCATATATGCATGTGTATGTATGCATGCACGCACGCATGCATGCATACATGCATGTATGTGCACACGTGCTGTGTACGTATGAATGTGTGGATGCACGCATGCACGCCTGCCTGTCGGTCTGTCTGTTTGGCTGTTGGTATGTCTATGTGATTGTCTGCTTATAGGTATGTATGTATACATGCATGTGTTCACACATCGCATGCCTGTACGTGTAAACACAAAACGTGTGTACCCGGCGGCCAGGGCCCAAAGTCCTTAGGGCAAGCGCCAGGCCTCCAGGCCTATGGCAGGTCGCCTCGGCCCCTCCGAGACGGCCCAAGACGGCTCCGACACAGCTCAAGAAAGCCCCCAGAAGCGCCAAGGGGACAGTCCACGAGGCCCCCGAGATAGCCCAAGAGAGCTCCAGGACGGCTTACGATAGCCCCGAGGCAGCCCGCGATACCCCCACGATTGCCCCAAGAGGCTTCAAGAGCCCCCGAGGACGCTTCCAGGAGGCCAGAAAGTTTCAGAAACTTGAAGCACATCAATCACGTGTGGTTGTTCGCCTTCTACTCTCCGATGAGCTTCCGAAGCCTCGATATAGTTTCGAAGAGGTTTCCAAGGGGGTCCGAAAGGACCGAAGAGGTCCCCAAGAGGCCCCCAAAAGGCCCCCAAGAGGCCCCCAAGAGGCCCCCAAGAATTCCCCAAGACTCACGAAGCCTCCTAGAGCCCCGAAGGGGCCCTCACGCGGCCCCCCGAGCCACCAAGAGGCCGCCAAGGGGGCCCAAGAGGCCCCAAGAAGTCCCAAGACGCCCCCAAGAGGCCCCCAAGAGTTTGCAAGACCGCAACATAGGATTTTAAAATGGCACCAGGAGGGTCGCAACCTGGGGAAACTGAAGGGACCCCATGTTCCACCTCTCCGAAAACGGCTCCAAGACTCTCGAGAAGTCGCGTCCACCAGCATGGGGCGGGGTGGGGGTGGGGCACTGGGCAACCAGACTGCCAGCGATGGAGACGATGGGGAAGCGCAGATGTAAAGGATATGGAACGAGGAGGTGACGTAGGAGAAGATACCGCCCAAACCAGCCAGAAGACGCCCAGGAGGCCTCCAGAAGGCCCCAAGAAAGCCTAAAACAACTTCCGTGAGGCCCCCAGAGGCTCTCGAAGGAGGGGCTTCTGCAAAACGATGTGAGGAGGATGGGAAGAATTCGCAGGGTAGGGCGATAATGAGGTAAAGGAAACATGGAGGCAGGATAGCGACTTACATTCGTACAACGGCGAGGCTGGAAAAGGCAACAAGGAGTTATCTCTAGATTGTGTGTTGGACCTTCCTGCCATTCCGCCTGCCTTCCAAACTCGAAGGACCGAGGTGCATGGCGCGAAGCGCCAATGCAGTCTTGTATATACATATGTATGTTTCTGTATTCAATCGCTTCGCTCACTCCGCCGGCCCGTATTGCATGATCGCTACGGCTTCGGGGCGGGTTCGGGGCCATCTCGGCGCCGCCAGAAGGAGGAAGATGAGGATGGGGAGGGGGAGGGGAGGAGGAGAAGAGGATGAGAAGGAACGGAGGAGGATGAAGATAAATATGAGGAGGAGGAGGAGGAGGAGGAGGAGGAGGAGAAAAGGGCGGAGGAGGAAGCCTCTCGATGGCATCTTGCGGCGCTCTTGGGGCCAAACAGGGCCGTCGTCCAGATGCTTCTTTGGGAGGCCCTGGGGTCTGTTGAGAGGCCGTTCGGGGGCGCCTGGGATACATTTTTGAAGCCTTGTAGGGCCTCTTTGGAGCCTCCTTGGAGCCTCCTGGGGTCTCTTGGGGGCCTCTTGGCGGCATCTTGGGCCATCTTGGGGGCCTCTCGGGGCCTCCTGGGGCCCTCTTGGGGCGGAAGGGTTGAGGTTTCGGTCGTGGTCCCCATCTTGGGCCCCTCTTGGGGCCGTCTTGGGGCTCTCTGGGGCCATCTTGGGCGTCTCTTGGGCCGTCTCGGGGCCCGTTTGGGCTCTCTGGGGGCCTTCTTGGGGGCCTCTTGAGCCGTCTTCGTGCGCTCTTGGGGGCCTCTCGGCGGCCTCTCGGGCCGTCTTGGAGCATCGGAAAGCCGATAATGCGACAAGGCCAACATCCTTCCAAAACCACAGTAAAACTTATGATTTTGGCCTCTCGGGGCGCTCTTGTGAGGCCTCTTGGAGGCCACTTGGAGCGTCTTGGCGGCTTCTTGGGCCGTCTTGGGATCATCCCTCCTAGAAGCAGACGACCAAAAAGATTATCAGGATGAAGTGTGGTCTTGGGAAGTATTCTAGCCGCATTTGGATCACAGGGGCTCTCCCTGGTGTTTTATACGGTTCTGAAATCAATGGTTTATCTGAGTTTGAATTGCTGAAGATAAGGAGGGAGGCAGGCAAGGTTCTTAGGCCTAGCGCCAAAGGGCGCTCTCTCACTGCGACAATGATATGCCATAATGATCCTGTCTGGCTAGGAGCTATATCACCCATGCTTCGATATTCCAAGGAGGTTTGGGCACTACAGGCACATTCCTACCCTTACTCACTTAGTTGGAAGCAATTGCGGGGGGGATGGGATGTGGTGTTTGCTCGACCTGAGCCAGTTTGGAGGCAAGTTTCAGGACCCCTACCAGCTTTAAGACTACCGATGAAGAGAATCGGTTGGCATATGACTGATTTCGTGACTTGTGTAAATGACTTCGGCGAGTCTGTTCTTCTTACTGTTGTTCCTCCTGCGATGGTCAAGAAAATGCTCCACGCAGCTTCGCTTCGCAGTCTCGAACGGGACGCGGCTGTCAAGGCCAAAGTCGGGTGCCCGCGGCTCTGTTTCGACATCGTGCGCAATCGCTTGAGATCTTCCAAGATATCTAACCTCGGCAAAGGTTGTATTCGGGCTCTTGCATGTGAAGCAGTGTGGACCTATGACCGTGCAGAAAAATCAGGTTATCTTGTCAACAATGGTTGTGCTCTGTGTGGGCAGAAAGGAGATACTACCTTCCACAGGCTCTGGTGCTGCCCGTCTGTTGCCTCGTTGAGAGAGGAGCTGGTGGAGCCCGATATTCCCAGGATGGCCGCTGACGCGGATATGTCCGACCCCCTTGACCACTTGCTGTACAACAGGGGCCTTTTTCCCACACCCTGGGGATACTTCCCCTAGGCCTGCTGAAATACGATAAAATAGAATAAAAATGCAAACCTAGGATATGAATCAGGCCTGCTAGCGAGAGTGGGCCCATTCAAGCTCGTATGCTCTGGGAGTGGCACATTTGCAGGTAACATTTTTGTCGATGGCAGCTGCCTTCGACACGAGATTAGCGAATTGCCCCGTGCGGGTTATGGGCTCGTGGCTCTGGGCGATGATGGTCGTAGGCTTGGCAGGCTCCTCGGGCCCGTGCACGCCCCCTTCCCACAGACGTCCCAGTGCTCTGAATTTGCGGGAATCGCCCGCGGTGGAATGGAGATAGGTGGCCCTTCCACCTTTTTTTTCAGACGGTGCTAATGTTGTTCACCAGTGCGAAGCCCCTTCTGCCGTGCGGCTCAGTTATAAGCGTCCTTTCGCGGGGCTAATGATGCTGTTTCGGGTCGGGGCCTCTCTCGTCGACTCGGTCGTTAAGGTCAAAGCCCATCTTGACCCGCTGGAAGCGGGAATTTCAGACCAGGGGCGCTGGCTGCGCACTGGGAATTCAGAGGCCGACGAGGCCGCCAAACTCGCTGCTGTTTCTCACCCAAGGGCGTCCGACAATCAGCTCAGAGAGCTCGACATGCGTATTCGGATTTCCAAGGCGGTGTGCTCTTTGGCGGCCAATGTCCTCCCCAGATGGCCCCGCCTTGATTTGTCGGATGCCCCATGGATTGCCCCGCCTCCCGAGCGCAAGGAGCCCCAGGGTCCTCCCCACGAGTGGGCTCACGTCTCCTATGGCGCTCGCAATCTCTGGCGGTGTCAGAACTGTTTGCGTGGGCGCACGGTTGAGGGTTCTGGCCGCCCCCCTCCGCCTGGTGTTTGTGACGATTTGTCGCGTCTTGACGGCCCTGTTTTGCGGGAATTCGGCAACGTGCCTGTCACAATTCCCGTTTCGAATGGCACGGTGATTACAGTTTGTATATGTTGCTATTCCTATGCCGCTCACAGCCATGTTCGAGGCTCGGCTAAAGAGTGTTCTAAGCCCACGCCCAAACAGAGAACTTTGTTCAATCGGATCTGCAGGGGACGGCACCCACAAAGGGATGACCTCACTGTGGGGCCTGTGCTGTGGTGCTAATCTTTCGCCTCGTAGTTCATGTAAAAAAAAAGTCTTGGGATCATCTTCGGCGTCTTGGAGCGTCCTTTGGGCGTCTCGGGGGCCTCTTGGGCAGTCTTTGGGGCCTCTTGGGGCCCTCTTGGTGCGCTCTGGGGGGCCTGAGAGGCCGTACCCAGGAGGAAAACCATCTCTGAGTATACCTTCCCGGGTTACATGTATGTTTCTATATTTACTACATGTAACATCTAGCTGCCTCGTCGTTGTCATCGTCCTTGTCCTTCTGCTCCGCAGCCGCCCCTACATCGCGGTCTGATCGAGGACCCTTTGCACCTCTCGACTTCGCCCCCGAGGCGTGCTTTTCATCCTGGGCCATGTCTCTTGACGCCCCCGGGGCCGGGCAGGCTCGAGAGGGCCGAACGTTGCCGACGATGTCCATCGTGATCTTGTCACGGCGCGAGGTTTCGGGCCAATGCGTGGGACTTGGGCGGCCGTTCGGGACGGCTTGGAACCACGAGACGCCTCTTGACGGGGCACAGCTGATGGGAAACACCTACGGGCTCGAAGATTTCGAACACCCAATACCAGTCAAAAACAGCAGAAAAATCCGAAGCACGACGCGAGGGGTCTGGGTCCCTCCTCTTCCTGCCTCTCCTTTCCAGGGGAGTTTTTTTTGTTTGTCGAATGCGTCTTCGGACAGCCCGCGTGAAGGGCAGAGGCGGCGATGCTCATCTCGTAGCTTTCGCCGCGTGTTCCAGCTGTCTCTTCCTGAATGGTCTTGTCTTCCCTCGTCCGCCCTTCCCTTGGCCAGTGCCCCTCCCCACCAGGACCAGTTCCGATCCGATCGAGCCGATGGCGACTTCGACCAGACCCGAGTCGATTCCGATTTCCTGGCGATCCGATGTGGCCCGATGCCTGCACAGCGGCGTAGCGTCGTTGTGCGTCCCGGCGCAGCCGATCCCATTCGATGCTGGTTCCGTGCTGGTGCGGCCCGATCCGACGCAGGTTCCGACCCCATCCGATTGCCCGATTCAATTGTTGACGGATCCTGCCCATCGCCCCCAACGAGGTCAGGACGGTTTCTTCTCTGAAGTCCTTGCTTCGGCGAGGATTGTCTTGCGCGCCTCGTCTCCGTCGTTCTCGTCCTCGTCGTCGGCTGAGCGTCGTCGTGCTTGTGGCCAAAGTCCGCCCCTGCCAACGGAGGAGATGGAAGAGGAGGAAGAGGGAGGATCGAAGCGGAAGAGGAGGAGGAGGAGGAGTAAGAGGATGAAGAGGAGGAGGAGGAGGAGGAGAGGGTATGGGGTCTGATTGCCACGTAGGTGCCCACTCGATTTAGGAGCCCGCCGTCGAGTGGTGGCGCGAGCGCAACAGCAGGATAATCGAGGAGAAGAGGGAGGAGGAGGAGGAGGAGGAGGAGGAGGAGGATGGAGGGCGAGGAGACGAAGGAGGAGGGAGGGGAGGAAGAGGAGGAGGAGGAAGGAGGGGAGGAAGGAGAACAGGAGGAGGAGGAGGAGGATCGAGGAGGGGGGAACGAGGAGGAAAGGAGAAGGATCGAGGAGGAGAATTGTTGCCAGCTGCTGAAGACTGAGTGCAGCATCGCAGCAGATGCACAAGCTATCATCAGCTGCAGCTGCTGCGCGGTCGGCTTTCGGGCGGCGGCTGTCGTCGGCTGCTTGCTTGTCGTTCGCGGCGGCGCCGTTCGCTGCTCCTCGGCGGCACGCGGCGTGTTCCACGCTTGCGCGGCGGAGGCCGCGCGTCCATCTAGCGCCGGCGGACGGGCGGGCGGCGTCGGATTAATAGCATGACTGCCGGCTCCATGCGGAGGGGGCGGCGGCCGGCCGTTCGGCGCGGCATCTGCATCTTCTGCCGGACGGCGGTGCATGCAGCATCACAGCAGCAGTCATGCAGCAGCATCTCCAGCAGCAGCAAAGCAGTCTGCAGCATCATCATCAGCAGCTGCTCGCAGCCGGACTCCGCATCATCATCAGCATCTCATCATCAGCATCAGCATCATCATCATCCTCAGTCCCATCAGCCAGCAGCTCCACCATCAAGCAAGCAACATCAGCAGTGAGAAGCAGCATCAGGAGCAGCTGCTGCTGCAGCAGAACGCTGCTGCAGCTGCTGCTGATAGATGCTTGCTAAATCACTCCACCCGCCTGATGATTATTGACTACGGCCTGCTGAGGAGCAGCAGAAGCTGAATGACAATGATAATAATGGTGACGCTAATGCTGCTGATGATGCAGTTGGTGATGTTGATGCTTATGCTGATGATGCTGATGCTGATGGTGCTGCTGATGTTGCTAATCAGTGGGTATGAGGATGATGCTGCTGATGCCAATCATGATGAGGATGGTACTGACGATGGCGATAATGATGATGCTGATGATGATGCTGCCGATGATGATGGTGAGGATGAGTATGCAGATGATGGTGATTGTGCTGGTGATGGTGATGTTGCTGATGCTGCTGATGATGAGGAGTGTGATGATGCTGCTGATGATGATGATGATGATGATGATGATGATGCTGATGCTGATGCTTATGATGCTGCTGATGATGAGGAGGAGAAGAAGGAGGAGGAGGAGGAGGAGGAGGGGGAGCAGGAAGAGGAGGAGGAGGAGGAGGAGGAGGAGGAGTGGGAGGATGAGGAGGAGGAGGAGGAGGAGGAACAGTAGGAGGAGGATGAGGAGGAGGAGGAGAAGAGGGTGGAGCGAGGAGGATCGAGGATCCGCAGGAGGATCTAGGAACAGGAGGAAAATCGATGAGGATCGGGGAGGGCTCTGAGGGCTCTGATGGTATGGGTCTGTCCAGAGACCCCTGGCACACTGGCCTAAGTGAGGCTGCCTAGGCGGCCTCAGAGCCGAGCCCGACGGCCCAGCAAGATGAGCAGACTGCCCGCTATGATCCCTACTGTCTCAGGCCAGCAGGAGCCATGGCAGACAGCCCAAACCAACGAGCCGCCCATCAGAGGCGACGAGAGGACCCAACGACCCAAGAAGCCCAACGGCAAAAACGAGGCGATACCAGCCGCGGCGACGAAGACCACCCGGGCCAAGCCCAAGCACCCGCCGCCACGGCCGAACGCACTCGGGCCTCAGCCTGCTTTACGACCAAGCCGCTCATGCACATGAAGTCACAGGCGCCGATGGCCTGCGACTTGCTCAGCATGACGGCGTTCGCCTTCACAGAGTCTACATTGTCGAAGATCCGACGATTCCCGGCCTTGGTCGCCCTCTTCAGTCGGGTCTCGATCTTGACAACGCCTGGATGACGAACTTATTAGTGAATTTCGCTACTGACGTTGCAAAGTTCGGGAGGGAATTCAAGGTCTTGATCATCACAACATGCGGGATGACGAAGTTACCGATGTATTTCGCACCTGAAGTTGCAATGCTCGCAAGAGAGCTCAAGGCCGTGCTGAACTTCTCCGAAGAGGAAGACGAGGAGGAGGAGGACGACGAGGAGGATCGAGGAGGAGGACGATCGAAGAGGAGCAGGGAGGAATCGCCGAGAATGACGACGACGAGCCTGGCAGGTGCCTTCCCCCCCCTCCTCCTCAGGCGACCGCCCAGGCCAACGCCACCCTCACCACCAAGAGCGCCGAGGTCCCGCCCGCCGGCGGGGCGGCGCGGCGTCGGGCGGCCACTGAGAGGCCGCGGCCTGCGGCTCGGCGCTGCTCGGCTCCTTCGCGCGCCGCCCCTCCTCGAGGGATCGAGGAAGAGGAGGATCGAAGATCGAGGATAATGTAAAAGGACCCAGGAGGATCGAGCATCGTGTCTGGCCCGGGTCGCATGCGATCTCACCCTCGCCTCCTGTTGGTGCCGGTCCATGTACTGCTTCGCCAAGTTCCCTTATCTGCCCACGGTTATTCAATGTGCCACCCACTCATTCAACACCCTCGCGATTTGGGGCTACAGCTTCCTGCGCCTTGCCCGACAGGGAACGAGCAGCTCGGCGCCCGGTGCCGGTGCTGCTCCGCTCTGCTTCGTGCCCCACAGGGGATCGAGGAGGAGAAGGATCGGGGATCGAGGACAATCCAGGAGGAGGAGGCGGAGGAGGAAGAGTCGAGGAGAAGGAGGAGGAGGAGGAGGAGGAGGAGGACCAGGAGGAGGAGGAGGAGGAGGAGGAGGAGGTGTTGTAAGACTTCGGGCTGCGCACAGACAGCCCCCCCAAGGTCGTCCCGGCTGGCCTCGACGGGCCCGCCGAACAGCCCGGGGCGGTGTCAGCACCCGGGGGCCGCCTCCAGCGGCGCCCCTGGGGCGCTCCGCGCCCCAGCGTTGGGGTGTTGAGACCGCCTTGAGCTACTCGGGGGGCCTGTTGAGGCCAGCCGCTCGGCTTCTTCGCGCGCTGCCCCCTCGGAGGTCCGGCAGGGGCAAAGTTAGGTGGATGGCTCAGAGGGGGATGCATCATAAGAGATTTACGCCGAAATGGATTTTCCCGTCGGATCTACGACAAGTACATAGAATGCTCCGTAGGTCTCGGAGCATCCCACGTATTTCTTGTAGATTTTCGACGAGACATTCAGTTTTGGGGGTAAATCAATTCTGCAGTCGATCCCATACTCGAACAATCGCCAATTGATCGCCGATAGGGGCCCGATTACGCACCCCGCCCTGGAACGTGCGCAATCTGTGGCCAACTTGGGGAACTATAGAGTGTCTTCGAAAGGTTTTTTGAAGCTAGCGGCATTGAGCGGCACTTAGAGGCGCGAGCGCCTGCGGTCCCGACGAGGCCGGCGGTCTCGCTCACGCGCCCGTGGCCAGTGGTTTCACGGAGGTCGGCGATCCCAAGCCCTGATTTACATGCCCGTGGCCAGTGCCACGAAATGGTAATTTTCGGAACCACAAACGGCCACTAAGTGCCACGAAAAGGTAATCTTCGGAACCACTAACGGCCACTAAGTCTCACTGAATGGTAGATCTCGGGCTACTACGTGCCGGCTTAATGGTATTTGAATTCTCGGAGCCACTAAGCACCACTAAATGGTAACTCTCGGAGCGGCTAGCGGCCACTGAGTGCCACTAAATGGTATTTCTCGGAGCCAGTAGCGGCCGCTAGGTGCCATTAAATTGTAATTTTCGGGGCCGCTAAAGGCCACTAAGTGCCACTAAACGGCCGCTGCAGGCCGCTAGCGGCCACTAAGTGCCACGAAATGGTAATTCTCGGCGGTCGCGATGGTCAGTTCGAAGTTCCCCAAAGAGTCCACATAATGCGCATTCGCTTTCAGGGGCCTATCGCCGGTCTATCGTTGATGTATCGCCGATTCCAGCTCGGCGCCGCTCGGCTCCTCCGCGCGCTGCGCCCTCGCAGGATCGAGGAGGAGAAGGACCGAGGATCGAGGGCAATCCAGGAGAAGGAAGAGGAGCAGTGGTAAGACTTTTGGTTTGCGCACGGGCAGCTCCCCTAGGTAGTCGCGGCTGGCCTAGACCCTAGACAGGCCCCCCGAGCAGTCCGGGGCGGTCTCGACACCCTGGCGCCGCCTCCAGCGGCGCCTCTGAGGCGCTCCTCGCCTTAGGTTTTTGGAGTGTTGAGATCGCCCCAGACCACTCGGAGGGCCTGTTGAGGCTAGCTGGAACCACTTAGGGGTGCTGTCTGTGCGCAACCCGCAGCCTCACCTTACCAATCCAGTGGGAGGAGGAGGAGGAGGAGGAGGAGGAGGAGGAGGAGGAGGAGGAGGAGGAGGAGGACCAGGAGGACCAGGAGGACCAGGAAGACCAGGAGGACAAGGAGGACCAGGAGGACGAGGAGGGGGCTTGGAGGATGTCTGGGGACCGACGATCAAAGAGGAGGAGGATCCAGCAGGACCGAGGAGGGCCACGCGGAGGAGGAGGAGGAGCAGGAGGAGGAGGAGGATGAGGACGGCCGACGCTCGGAGGTTCTGGGCGGAGCGGGGCTGGAGGTTTCCCGACGATTTTGGACGTGCTCGGAGACCTTCGAGCTATCGGAAAGCCGCGGTTGAACGATCCACGAAGTTGGAGCCAGCTGGTGAGCTTGAGGTTGCCAGCACTGGTTCCGGCCAGCAGCAAAAAGGGGGGAGAAAGCGCCCCCTTCTTCGCCACAGCTGGACGCGGCTCGAGAAACTGGTCAGTTTCGACCTCGGGACAGGTTCCAGTGCAGATTTTGAGCGAATTTGCCCTCGCCCCCCCCCGTGCTGACATATTTGTTCTGGGCTACTCCAGCTCAGATCCCTCGCCCGCCGCCAACCACGAGGTGTCAGAAGCCAACACACAAGTCGCCACGACACGACAGGCTCTAGCCGTGTGGCGTCTCACTTCTGCTTCCGCCGCCTTCGCCGTCCTTCCGCTGGCGGATCCGCCGCCACTTCACTTCTGCCAGCTCCCGCTGGCCTTCCGCCGGCTTCGCCGAAAGCGAGAACCGCCGAAGGCGACAGGTGCCGAAGGCAAGACCTAGCTGGAGCGCCTCATCTTTGCATGGCTCCTGGCAGCGCCCCCCAGCTGATCCCAATCGGTCGATACTGAGGGACCTGCACTGTCGGAATGCCGCTGCCGCTCACGGTCAGAAGCCACGATACCGACCGATCCACGAAGTGTCAGGCAAGCCATCACGGCAGGAACCCGCCGTGTGACCGCTGCCGGAGGCCCTGCTGCAGGCCGCCGAGGGCCGCCAAAAGGCCATCCACGGCTGGCGAGGGCCGCCGAAGGTCGCCGTGCGTCCCAGGCTGCCGAAGGCCGGCGATGGCCGCCGAAAGCCGCCGAGGGCCGCGGTTGCTTCCCCGGCGGCCGCGCCCGCGCCGCGACGCAGCAGGCGCGGGCCGCGCAGATGAAGATCGACGCGGAGGACAAGGCTCGAGTAGGGGATCGACTGCAGGATTCTTAGCGGGCGAAGGAAGGTACAACATACACTGTTCCGCCGTCGGGGACGCCTGCCCCCCGGGCGGCTGGAAAGGTTATTACCCCACGTGGCACCATGGGGGTCAAATCTCTGCAGCCGCCCGGGGGTCAGGCGTCCCCGACGGCGGAAAAGTTTATGCTATACCGTTCTTCGCCCGCCAAGATTCATTCGCCCCAAAGATGATTTTCCGTCGAACCCTTGAAAAATACACCATGCCCCGCAGATCTGCGGAGCAGTCTAAGTATTTTTCGTAGGCGCGACTGAAAAAAAAAACAATCTTTGACGGGTCGCGAATCCCCACCAGCCCATCCAAATCCGACGCCAAGGCGAGTTGAGAAGAGCATGGAAGCGTCGAAGCAAAATAGGGAGCAGTCGTTAGCGTTCGAGGGAGGAGGAGAAGGAGGAGAAGGAGGAGGAGGAGGAGAAGGGTGGATGAATGATGGAGGAGGGAGAGAGGAGGAGCAGGAGGAGGGGGATTATGATGATGATGATGATGATGATGATGATGATGAGGATGAGGATGAGGATGAGGATGAGGATGAGGATGAGGATGATGAGGATGAGGATGAGGATGAGGATGAGGATGAGGATGAGGATGAGGATGAGGATGAGGATGAGGATGCTGATGCTGATGATGATGATGATGCTGATGATGATGCTGATGCTGATGCTGATGCTGATGCTGATGCTGATGCTGGTGATGATGATGATGGTGGTGATGATGATGATGCTGATGATGATGATGATGATGCTGCTGCTGATGATGATGATGGTGGTGGTGGTGATGATGCTGATGATGATGATGATGATGATGAGGAGGAGGAGGAGGAGGAGGAGGAGGAGGACAGGGGCGAACAGACGAGCCAGAGGCCTCTTCAATGCCTCGCGGAGTCTCGGATCTCGCTTGGAAGCTTTCTGGAGGCCTCTTGGGGCGTCTGGGGGGACATCTTGGCGGACACAGGGCCGTCTTTGCGTCTTGGGTGCCTCGGAGATTTTCTTGAGGCTTTGGGGGCATTTTAGAGGCCCTTGGGCGTCTCTTGGGGCCGTCTGTGCGCCTTTTGGGACCCTCTTTGGGCGCTCTTGGGAGCTTTAGGGGCGCTCGTCGAGCCATATTGGAAGACATCGATCAAACAAGAGGGGAGCTCCGATTACAGTCCCCCCTCGGGAGCCCAAAACATCGACTTGCTTGGTGCGCTTTTGGAGCGCTCTTGGGCATCCTTGGGGCAGTCTTGGAGGCCTCTTGGACCCCTCTTGGGACATCTTGGAGCCATCCTGAGGCCTCGGAAGGCCATCGGAAGCGAAACGGCGAGAAAGCAACAAACATTGATTTTCCTCAGGTGTTGGAAGGCTTTTGCCTCTTGGCGGCATCCTGGGGAGGCTCCGTGGCTACCTGGAGCCGTCTTGGAGCGATCTTGGGGCCTCTTGGAGCATCTTGGGAGCCATCGTGCGGCATCTTGGGCTATCTTGAGCCGCCTTTCAGATCATCTTGGGCTCTGTGAGGCGCTCTTGGAGCCGTCTTGGGCCATCTTGGACGCTCCAACCCCTCGCAAACCCACCCGTCAAGGTACGGGGGAGGGGGTAATGGGGGAGGGATCAAGCCCTCCCTGAGCGGGAAGAATTGGGTTGGAAGAGGAGGCTCCCTGGACCGCCTACGCCCAGAGGGCTGGTGGGATTCTGGAGTAAGCCAATCCTGCAGCCGATCCCCTGCTCGAAAGGCGCTGGGGCACGTCAAGGACGGCCCGGTGGCGCCCTGGGCGGCGCCCGCTCGGCGGCTCCGCGGGCGGGCTCAGGAGGTGGCCCCCGTGGTCCCCCTCCGAGTCCCTTCGGCGTCGGGGCCCGCTCGGCCGCCGAGCGGGTCCCCCGGTCGAGCGCGTTCGGCGGCCGAGCGGGCTCGATTCCCACCTTGGAGCCGTCTGGGGGTCTGAGGGGGCCCAGCACTGGTTCCGGCCAGCAGGAAGGGCGGGCAGGGTTGAGGTTCTGCGTCCGGAGAGGTTTTTTGCTGTTTTCTGCCTTTGGGAGCCGCTTTTTGGGCACAAGGACCGTGAAGATTGATCCAGGGTGGAAAACTGCATTAGATGGATCCGAGGAGGGGTCCGGGGATTGATTTCGAGCGGATTTGTCTCCATCCCCCCCTCCTGATAGTTTTCTTGGACATTTGGAGCTGAGCCCGTCCGTTCGGCTGCTGGTCAGACGCCGAATAGGTTCAGAGGGGACCCTGGGGAGCGCTGGCTTCGTCGTCGTCGCCGTCGTCGCCTGCGTCGTCGTCGTCGTCGTCGTCGTTGGTCACCGTCGTCGTCGATTGATTTGTATAGGTTGTAGTTAGGGCCTCTAGGACTTTCAGAAGCCTCTGGAGGCATCTGGAGGTCTGACGCGAAGTCGTTGTGGTTGGTCGTCGTCGTCGCCGTCGCTGTGCGGCCTCTGGAGCCTGACGCGCATCGTCGCCAGGCGTTTCGGAAAGGGCCTCCTCTTCGAGGAATCGAAGGGTTCACCTGCTGTCTTCTTCGGCGGAAGGCGGGCGGAAGGATGGCAAAAGGCCAGCGGAAGCAAAAGAGGGGCAGCCTCGCCTGCGGAAGGCCACCAGAAGGCTGGGGAAGTATGAACATGCGCCGCTCAGGAGATGTCGACTTGTCAGAATTCAGTGTGTGTCTGGAGCGTGCCGTTTGTAGTAGGTCGTCGCTGGCGCATGGGAAACAGCGGCCGGGCATAATCAGCACAAACATATTCGTAGAATGTTGAGTAATGTGGCTGATGGTGGCCATTTGGCCTACCACTCCGAGTGCCGTGCCACCATGTTTCTCCTCCTTGCTGCTCCACCGTCTTTTCCCCCTGCCATAGGCGCGCCACTGTGAGAGAAAGCGCCACGAGCGTGCGAATGCTGCCAGTGGTCATATTCAAGTTTCATTGTGTGCATACATAAACATATGTATGTACGTAAATACATGTATATACGTAGCACCCCGCAGATGCGGATAAGAGTGAGGGGGCGGTGGGGACGTCGGCAGTCTGCGAGACTCTGGAGAAGCCTGGCGCAGGCGCCACAGTTTCACAAATTGTACAACGAGCCCGCCGCAGGCGCCCACTTTTTCTTCAAACCAATGTGGATCGGTCGCTGGTGGGTCGCGGGAGGGTCGCGGGGTGGGTCGCGGGGTGGGTCGCAGGTGGGTCGCAAGTGGGTCGCAGGTGGGTCGCGGGTGGGTCGCGGATGTGTCGCGGGGTGGGTCGCGGGTGGGTCGCAGGTCGGTCGTGGGTGGGTCGCGGGGTAGGTGCGGGGTGGGTCGCGGGGTGGGTCGCGGGGGGGACGACGACAATAAAGAACAACAACAACACCAACAACAACAACAACAATTACTAGCACGTGGGGACACTCCGTTCTCACCAGTGCCAGGGTTTTCATACGACGCCCGCCAATACCCCCACTTTGTGGGGGGGGCCGGTTCAAGCTCTACCACATTTCCAAACGACTCTTCGCCACCACCCACACCCAGCTTCCCGCCCTATGACGTTCGGACACTTCACTTCGTGGCCTGCGGACGACCGTGGCTACTACACTGGCGCATGGGTACAGTGACGCGCGCATGTGTCCCGCATGGTATGTTTTGCAAGGGATTGTGGCCCCCGGCAGGCGCGCGAACGCCGTTGAAAGAGCTTGCGAAAGTAGCCCGCGCGAGCTCATGTAACATAAATGTTGAAAAACCATTGGTTTTTTAGGATTCGGACAACGCGCGCGGGTAGAAATTTTGAAAATTCGTACAGATGTTTTTCGAGGTCCCACGGTGCGATTCGTATGATTTTATGTTGCGCGGTGCTAAAATTCCTAAGAAACCCAATGGTTCAAAGATTTCGGCGTGCGCGCGCAAAGAAAAAACGAATGTGTCCCGCATGGTATTATTTGACAGGGATGATGACCCTGGCAGGTGCGCAACGGTTGTTGGAGAAGTTCGAAGCACGTGAACAAGTTGCTCGGAAAAGCCCATTTGACAGAAATGTTTAAAAAGTGTTGGGTTTCCGACAAATCCGCAAGAGCGCGCGGGATGAAATTTTGACATTTTTGTTTTGGAAAACCATTGGTTTTTGATGTTTTTATGTTGAAATCGCTACGAACACTAAGGTTTTGGAAGGATTTCGTCTTGCGCGCGCGAATGTCCACTTTACCTTATTTTTTGCAAGGGATTCTTGAAGTTTGGTTATGTTAGAACAAGAAATGTCCACTTTAGCTTATTTTTTTGCAAGGGAAAACGGGGGACAACAAAACAACCGGATCCGGACACCCACGATTTGCCTGAGACTTCCTCACGAAAATGATGAAAATGTGGCTGCGGCCTAGGCGCGGCGAGGGGGCCGCGCACCAGGGGTCCCAACAATAATTATTCTTTAGAATAAATAATGTTCAACAACAACAACAACAACAACAACAACAACAACAACCAACAACCAACAACCAACAACCAACAACCAACAACCAACAACCAACAACCAACAACCAACAACCACAGCAACAACAACAACAACAGCAACAGCAGCAACAACAACAATCATGTTAAGACTGTTCGCTCCTATCTGCTCACGTGTTAATCAATACGTATATCTCAAACCCTCGGCACCCGCCCTCATCGTCTTCGATCGTACCCCTTTGGAGGTATATCTTCCTTACCTGCCACGTGTGTCTAGTGCAGCCCCTAAAGCAAGAGAAGAGAGGACCAGTGGACGGGGGAGGGAGAATTATGGAGCACGAAAGAAATTAGCATGAGGGGGGCAAGGAGCAGAAAACAAGTGGTAGAACCAGACGGGCAGACCGGGTGGGCTGACCCATAGCGGGCAGGTCGGGAAAGCGGGCCCAGGCGACGAGGTCGAGCAGGTGGGTTGCTGAAGCGTGGGTCCTGCATGAATCGCGAGGAAGTCTCGAGCGATAGCGCGATTTCTAAGTAAATCGTGAGAAGAGCCAGCGTGGGCCACGAAGGGCATAAAATCCGAGGCCGCAGAGGGCAGCGACAGGGCCGCTGAGGGCAGCACCGGGGCCACGAAGGGCAGCGAGCGGGCCACAAAGTGCGACAGCAGGACCACGAGTGGCATGCATTTGGGGCCACGACGGGCGCGAGCGAACCGGGGCCACGAAGGGCATTCGCATACGGGGCCACAAAGGACGACAGCGGGGCCACGGAGGGCAGCGAAGGGGCCACGAAGGGCCACGAGGGGGCCACGAACACCGACAGCGGGGCTGCGAAGGGCACGCGTATGGGGCCACGACGGGCGCGTGCGAGCTGGGGCCACGAAGGGCAGGGGCCACAAAGGGCAGCGACGGAGCCACTGAGGGCAGCAACGGGGCCACGAAGGGCAGCGAGCGAAGGCGACCGCGGAACCAGTACGGGCAGCGAGGGGCATCGAAGGCGGGCGAAGGGCAGCGAGCGGCGACTCCAGTCATTAACGTGCTGGTCGGGCGGGCAGGCCCCGACGGGCGGGTCGAGCGGGCGGGTCGTTGAAGCATTAGTCCTGCTTGAACCGCCATGCAATATGTAGCCGGAGCGCGATTCCTGAGCGTCGAGGACCAGCATCATAATACATTGTGGAAATATAGAGCGAAACGGTTCGGCGGTAAGTTGCGAGGAAGTCCCAAACGAGAACGCGATTGCGCAATACATCGTCAAGAAGTATCGAGCGGGAGCAACGATTCGGTGGTAGACTGCCAGGAAGTCCAAAGCGAGAGCACGATTCTTCAGTTAATTGCGAGGAAGTCACAGGCGGGAGCCGCTGTTGTTGTAAACCGGGGGCCAACGATATAGTTTGAGTCTCAAGGCTTTCCCTGATAGAAAGTTTGGTGCGAGCCCCGGGAGGGGCACTTCAATTGAAAAATGCAATGTGCACTGGGCGGGGGGGATCAACAATAATGATGCTTCGGAAAAAGAGAGTTCAACAACGCAACAAACATAATCCTCACCACGGATTCTCACTTCAGCCACGCACCCAGGGACAATGAATCACCGTTCGGCCCCCTTTACTCTTATACATATATATATATATGTATACACACGGCTGCTGCCAACTACAAGGCCTGTTGTCCAGTACCGCGGTCATGCTCGGAGCATAGAATGGTTCTGGGCCGAGCGGAGTGAAAGCACGAAGGCGCGCGAGCTTGCCACAAGGTGGAGGGCAAAATGGTCATGCGCGCTCCCATTGCCGCTCGCGTGGGCTTAGCTGGCCCTCGTGCCCGTGGCATCATTCTTACCATCAGCCCTTATGTCCAGCGTGTGTTCCTCTCGTATGCCCGCCGCCTGTCTGTCTTCGTTCTTTCTTCACTCCCTCCCTAATTACAGTCAAAGCGCATAGTGAGGATGAGCGAGTTTCCAAGGTTACCTCTGCATCCTTCCCCTTCGGTTCATCCTTTGCCACGTTTGCTGGCCGCGCCGCGCTCGAAACTTGTCGACATGGCCTTCCAAGGCCCTTGCATCCCTATCGTGCGTCCTTATGATACGCCTTGCCTGTACGTTCCACCCTCGTGTTCGTCATTGTGCTCTGGCTGACGAGGAGACGTTGAACTTGTCCGCAGAGGCCCTGGTCGGCTACCAGAGGGGCTTCGCGTACCAGACCATCCCGAACGCCACGTTCTTGTTCGGAGACCCCGCCATACCTTGCTAGTCCCGAGGCAGGCCAGGAATCAGGGGCACCTTGTAGCGGAGCTGGCATGAACAGCTTCGCAGGCCTGCGCGGATTTCTTGGAACGGCCCTGCCCTCCGTGGCGGCGCCTCCGACGCCGCCCCTGGCGCGTCCCGCGCAACAGGGAGGGGCTCCAGCGTTGATCCAGGAAATCTGCGCGGACCTCCGAATCTTATGTTTTTGCCGTCTTCTGCACTTCAAAAGCGTGGAGCGACGTCATGTGACCACCTCACCAATCCTGGCCAGTCCGATCCTGGGTACAGGGTCCGTGCATACGCATCCCTGGCCAAGCCAGGACGGCCTACACATCGATCCTGGGCCCAGTATCGGGCCTCGGCCATGACCCGTGATGTGGTCAGTTGGCGTCGCCAGGAAGGAGGGGGAGGGGGAAGAGGAGCAGGAAGCGACGAATTAAGGATAAAACCAGGCAGCGGCGGCCCAAAGATGATGGAGTCATGCCGGCGAGCCGTGATGGCTCCGTGAGATAAATCAATAGCGTCGCATTTCCGCGTTTTGGTGTTACGGGCGCGGGCGTTGCCAACGACCCGTCCGAGACATGCGACGATCTGATTGTTCATCCGCGGCATTTCCTTTGAATTCGGCATCGGGGGGCTGCTTTCGGTCCCCAGAGCTGTCTGAAACGGATCCGGAACGCAAAGGTACTCCTGCGGAATGGGTTGGGAGCTCTGGGGTCGCAGATGGAAATTATCCCGGCCAAAGACTAGGCCACATGCAGGTGTGAGTACCCAACGGCAGGTGGAACGCAGGGGAGCTCTCTATGGGTCCACGAGACGTGTGAGGGGCGTGCCGAAACGAGAGGCCATGACGCATGCGAACGCAGCCGCTGGGGCCTTCGGCGGAGCTCCCCATGGGGCCACGAAGCATGTCAGGGGCGTGCCGAAATGAGAGGCGCGGACGCATGCGAACCTTGCCACTGGGGCCTTCGGTGGAGCTCCTTGTAGGGCCGCGAGGCGTGGGATGGGTGTGCCGGAATTAGAGGCGCGGGCGCGTGCGAACCTTGCCACCAAGGCCTTCGGTGGAGCTCTCCATGTGGCCACGAAACATGTGAAGGGTGTGTGGACATGACATGCGCGGACGCACGTGAACCTTTCCGCTGAGGCCTCCAGTAGAGCTTCTTGTGGGGCCACGAAACGTGTGAGGGGTGTGCCCAGGTCAGAGGCGGGGACGCATGCGAACTCAGCCGCTGGGGCCTTCGGCGGAGCTCCCCATGGGGCCACGAAGCATGTCATGGGCGTCTCGAAATGAGAGGCGCGGACACATGCGTACCCTGCCGCTGGGGCCTTCGGTGGAGCTCCTTCTGCGCCTATGGGGCCACGAAGCGTGAGATGGGCGTGCCGAAATGAGAGGCACGGACGCTCGCGAACCCTGCTACTGGGGCCTTCGGTGGAGCTCCCCATGGGGCCACGAAATATATGAAGTGTATATATGGAAAGGAGGGGCACGGGCGCATGCGATCCCTGCCACCTGAGGCCTCCGGTGTAGCTCCCTGCAGGGCCACGAAACGTGTGAGGGGTGTGTCCAGGTGAGAGGCGGGGACGCATGCGAACTCAGCCGCTGGGGCCTTCGGCGGAGCTTCCCATTGAGGCACGAGGCGTGTGATGTTTGCGTGTGTGTGTGTGTGTGCACCGAGGTGAGAGGCGCGGACCAATGCGAACCCTGAGGAGGGAGGAGAAGGAGAAGGAGGAGGGGGGGAGGAGGAGGACGCGTGGCGCTGTCTCTTCGCAACGAGGACCCAACACCACAGGATGGTTGGGAGCAGATCGTGTCGGAGGATGTCTGGGTATGGAGTTCGGCCGCCACGCTGGATCTCTGCCCTCGCACATTTCACAGTCACGTCGCGTCGACGATTGCGCGGGCGGTCCCCACCCTCGCCGGGTACCCAAGTCGTCAACCTCGCGGCTCCTCGCAAAGGTGGCGGCGCCCCCCCCCCCCGCCAACCCCTCCCGCACGATGCAAAGCTGATCGATGCAGGCAAGGTGCGCCAAGCGAACTCGAAGTTCGTACTCGATGCGGTGGAGCATTAAAAAAGCATAGCTGATCGATGAAGTGCGGCGATGGTGTCGCTGATGCGGTCCATCCATTGGCGTCCTCTCCTCGCGACCTCCTCGGCTCTGCGTGGGGGGCGGGGGGGGCGGGGGGAGGGGAGCGCCGGCCTCGCGCTCGTCCGTGCAAGTTCCAAGACGAGGTCAGGACTGCAGTGCCGCCCGCGCGGATCTTTTGGGGGGATGGGCGTCTGGGGGCGCGTGACTCGTGTTCGTTGTGTTTGCGCGAGCATGGACGTTCCAACACGTACACATATGCACGCACACGCACAAAAACACACACGCGCTTTTTGTCCCAACAAGGTGGCTCACGGGCCCCCTCTTGCAGTGCTCGCCAAAGCTGCCCTCCTGGAGGCGATCCAGGATGATGACTTCGCGCTCAGGCCGCAGGCGTTCGGAGACGCTCCCCCCCCGGCGACCACGAGTAGCACGCGCTTGTTTGTCGGCAGGCCCGGCGAGCGCGCGGGCCGGTCGAGCAGCTCTGGGGCGCGGGGCCACCAGGTGGGCCCATGGGGAGGCAGGGGAGGGAGCGGGGCAGAGCGGCCGCGGGGCAGGAGGAGGCGCGGGGGAGGGGCGAGCTCTGGCCACGCAGACCTTCGTCGGCGGGCAGCTGCCAGGGCGCGACAGAGTTCGAGCAGGAGATCGACTACAGATGCCCCCCTGTGAGCGACTTTTGGGGTACAGCCATTCTGTAGTCGATCTCCTACTCGAAGAGTTGCAGGCATGGGACAAGAACGTCCTGGAAGAGGTGCAGCGGGTCGGCGGACTGGTCGAGGACGACCAGGCCCACGTAGCACCCGAAGGCGTATTCGCACTGCCCATGCACGCACACACACACACACACACACCCACGCACGCACGCACGCACGCACGCACGCACGCACGCACACACACACACACACACACACACACACACACACGCACGCACGCACGCACGCACGCACGCACGCACACACACACACACACACACACACACACACACGCACGCACGCACGCACGCACGCACGCACGCACGCACACTAGTAGTGAGTGGGTGCGCGAGTCAGTGATCGTGCAGGTGGGCAGACGGTTGGGTGGGTGAATGGATACATGCATGGTCACTTGGATGCGCGATCGCACGAAGGCGTCCATGATCAAACGAGCGCACCAACGAATGGATCAAGCGAGGAAGGGACGAAGCAACGCGTGGAGGGACGACTGAGTGAATGGGATGGAGTGCAATGCCATCTTTGTCGTCGTCGTCGTCGTCGTCACTGGTGTCGTTGTCGTCGTCGTCGTCGTCGTCGTCGTCGTGGTCGTCGTCGTCGTCGTCGTGGTCGTCGTCTGCGGTGTCCTCGTTGCCCTCGGTGTCGTCGAACTCGCCGACCCCCCTTTTGCTCCTGCACGCGCGCAGGAGTCCAGAACGCGGTCGCCGTGGTGGGCGGCGGCCACCAGGGCGCCGCTGGCCTCGGGCTAGAGACTCCGACCCCTTCGAGCCAAGACAAAAATCACGACAGAAAGGATGGAACACTGGCTCCGGGGAATGGGTCGAGACCGTTGGGGTCGACGTTATGAACAAATCATGACGTCGGGGGTCTTGGGACAGCGAGTACCCCAGAGGTTCGCTCCTGAGCTCAATCGGAACCTGAGCCTGATCGGCCGCCGAGTGGCTGCAGCCGAACGGGCTGGGCTCCCGATGCCGCGGGTGGGAACTGAGCCCGTTCGGCCGCCGCGCGGACTAGATCGTGGACCCGTTCGGCGGCCCGACAAGCTCAGACGCCGAGTGGGCTCAGAAGGGGACGCGCGGGGAGAGGGGGCATCTGCATCACCACTTGGCACATTCACAGGCACTTCTTGAGCAGTCTCTTGTGTGTACGTCCTCCCAGCCCAGCCAGGAACTGTGAGTGACATATCAATGGCCTGGGCCATACAGAATGGCCAGTGTGCGTCTAGTGGTGGCCGTATGTCTATCATGTAGAACGTGTGCGCGTACATATGCAAGTGTATAGCGTGTACATGTGTACATGTAGACATATTGCACGTGTGTGTAAATGAAAATAGGCATTGCACTTTCAGCGCGCACCATTATCACCCCTTTGTGCGTTTCATGTATGACTCTATGTATAATTCGTGCGAATATCGCGTTCATGTCTGAAGTTGTTTGTTCGAAGCCTGTTTCGGTTCAAAATGAATTTACATATCAGTTTCTTCTCATCTCCTTCCGACTCCAACACCACACCCGGTACTGAACAGCCTTCGTCTCCAACAACACACCAGCTACTCATCAGGCCCCCTTCCCAAGATGAACTTGACCATATGCTTCTACTCCATTCCCTCAGACTCCAATGCCACGCCCAATATTCAGCATCCTTTCTCTTCAACGCCTCACCCACTACTCAACAGGTTCCCTCCCTTCCCCAGTGCGAACTTGAACATATCCTTCTACTCGCCTCCCTCCGTCATCAACACCACATCCACCATGCATCAGTCTCCATGAGCACCCTTGGTGTGTGTGTGTGTGTGTTAGGAATGGCTCTGTATTTTGTCCGCCCGAATCTCGCATTCACTTATGAGGTTTCGTTTCTATGCTTTTTGCCGATTCATGATGGACTTGAGCACGTCCGTCTATTCAACCCCCTCCGTCTCCAACGCCACAAACAATACTGAACAGACTTCGTCTCCAACACCACGCCCGCTACTCAACAGGCTCCCTTCCCAAGATGAACCTGACCATGGGCTTCTTCTCCATCCCTTCCGTCTCCAATACCACACCCAATACTCAACCTCTTTTCTCCCCAACGCCCCACCCACTACTCAACAGGTTCCCTCCAACATGCGAGCTTGAACATATCCTTCTACTCATCCCCCTCCGTTACCAACACCACATCCACTGTGCATCAGCCTCCATGAACCTCCTTGGTGCGTTTCATGAATGACTTGTTGTATTTGGTTCGCCCGATTATCGCATTCACTTCTTAGGTTGTGTGTCTATGCTTTTTGTCGGTTCGCGATGAACTTGGACACGTCCGTCTACTCAACCCCCTCCCCCAACACCACACCCAATACTGAACAGACTTTTTCTCAGCACCACACCCCTTGCTCAATTGGCTCCGCCCCCCGGGTGAATTTGACAATATTATTCTACTCAACTCCCTCCGTCGCCATCATACCAACAATTCAACACAGTTCCCCTCCAACACCACACACACTGCTCAACAGGCTCCCTCCGCAAAGTGAATTGAAGAGGTCGTTCTACTCAACTCCCTCCGTCTCGAACACCACACCCAATACTCAACCACCTTCCCATCCAACACCACACCCACTACTCAACAGGCTCCCTCCCCAGGATGAATTCGGCAACATGTTTCTATTCAGCTCCCTGCTTTTTCAACACAACACTCACTACTCAACAGCATTCTTCGCCAACACCACGCCCACTACTCAACAGGCCCCGTCCCCAAGAGGAACTTGATCATATACATCTGCTCAACTCCCTCCGCCTCCAATACCACACCCACTACTCAACAACCTTCTTTTCAAACGCGCCGCCCAGCCACTTCCAAACCTCCAGCTCCACGACGCCCGCCCGCAGAAAGTTCTTCTCCTCTTGTGACCTTCCAGTGCGTGGTGCGTGCTGAGACCTATATATGCAGATGTGTTCACTCTCAGTGCTCCCAGGTCACGTTTTGTTTCAATGCGGTGTTCACCTCTCGACCGCTTCGCGGGCCCGTTGTTTCATGCTTTATTGATTTTGCATGGCCCTGGTGTCCGGCTACGGGCCCTTCATCGGAACGAGGTGAGTCTTTTAAGATGTTTATCTTCTAAGCTCCGTCCCTCGCTTCACAATTCCTTCTCGTCTGCTACCAGTCGTGCGGATAGTGAATTTCGCCCAGATCTCGTCCTCGCTTCTCGAGTGAGGAGGGAGTACAAGGAAGAGGGGGAGGAGGAGAAGGTGAAGGCGCAGGCGGAGGCGCAC